AAATTATTTAGTAGGTCTCAAATTAATAGCTGGAATGACTAAGCCTCAAATTTACCAGGGTCATGTGATCTTAGCATAAATGTGGCTAGGAAAGCAAGTGAGAAGGCAGGGTCAGGGCTTGGGACTTACTTACTGAAGCTCAGCATCTGAAGGTAATTTGTACATGTGCATTTAATGGCACTAACAATGAGTATAGTCTTACCAACTTTTTTTTTGTTTTTTGCTTCCTGGAGTCTCTCTAATCCTAAACCACCTTCAATTCAGCATGTGTCATCATCTGTCCCTAAATATCTCATTCGGATAATGGATTTTTTTCTATGTCTGTTTAATCACACGCATGACCTCTTTTCTCCTGGGAAGGCAGACTTCCTCCATATCTCTGTCCACATCTGTTCTTAGCTAAGAGCATGGGGCTCAATGAGACTTAACTCCACTTTGGATAGACGGGCTGACCTCAAGGTCACTAGCAGCCAGAATTGGGACTATTCTGTAGTCCGATGACAAGTCCAGCCAGGACAAGCTGCCACAAGAGTGCCTGTGCAATAAGAATGAGGTATGGCTACATGTATCTTGCTTCCACTCCATAAATGGGACTGGTCATATGTTTTTAAGTGTCATGAAAGATAAAAACCAAAGTAGTTCCTACACGGACTTTGCCCGTGGTCATAAGTCTTTGACTGGAGGTGCACTCCCCTTATTTTATAAATTGAAAGTGTTGATGAATTGGGACCTCATGGGTGATGCTGCTAAGATTTAAAAGAATATTCATTTCATCTTCTTTCAATATTGAACCTTGTCCTTTCCATCCAGTTCCCCTCACAAATGACAAAGTCTCTCATTTACAGGATTTCCTGCATCTTCATTTCCTTTTGGGGTATCTGTTATTCACCCATTTTGAATTAGCTTTGAAAAGTTAGTTAAATGGAAAACTAAATCTGTATTTTTGTTCCGCATTGGGGTGGAAGGAAGGCTGGTGAATTGTATGGTGCACACGAACAGACTTATCTTTGTATTCAGATTCACCTGAAAGGCAACATAGCTCTTTCGTTACAGAATCACCACTTACTAAAATGAAACTAGCCGATGACTTGAGGGTCTTACATAAAGACCTAGATCTTTCTGAAGTGCCCTAATACACTCCCTCTTCTTATGCTTTCAGAAATGACAGGCACTCAAAAGAATTGAGATGGGGAGAAACACCTGTGTGTATGTGTAAACAATTCATAAATATAGAATAATGCAGTTCTGCTGAGGTTTTCTTCATATATTTTTTGCGTGTGATGTGTTCCTCAATATGTAATCTTGTATTGTGTATCAAGTAGCTGTGGCTTAGCAATCAGTTTAAAGAAGGCATAAACTCTATACTTGTGACCTTATTATAACATATTTTAGTGGGATGTCTGATACCATCCCCCAGTGTTTTAGTATCTCTGTGTAAGTGGCAATTACCAGTAAAATAAATTGTGTCACTGAATTTGGTTCAAGTTGAATGTAGTAATACTTATATGTGGATATAGTAAAATAAGCAGATTGATTCAAATAATCAGTCTTGTCTCTGTCTTTTAGGACTTTAGTATTTTAATATTAGAGGTGTCTTCTGACGACTTTAGCAGCAGTAGACTCCTTTTGCTCTTGAAAATTCAGAATCGTTTGTATTACATAGATGTTCCAGGAATAAGAGTGGAACACTCCCGGTGTAATAGTTTGGTCTCAGAATCTGGTAAAGGACAGTGCAGTCTGTAATAAGGTAAGAGCTTTCCCAACTTGAAACTGCTTGGGGAGCTCTTGGAAGACAGGACTGAATTTTAATCTCTTGGATGTAGTGGTACCAAACTAACAGAATTTTTAAGATGGATTTTGTAGAATCAGTGAAACATGTTGAAAAGCCATATATAACTAGGGACTGGTCAAGCATCACATACTAGAGTGAATAGAATCTACTTCACCAAGAGGGTTTTCATTTTTGCACAGTTCGCCATATTTATAAAAATGTCATTGTGTCATCATTGGGTTAAAAAAAGTTCATCTTCCTAATGGTACATTTCCTAAGCAGCAAACCAGTGCAATCACCCAACTAGTAACTCGTCATTATAGTCTGACAGCTTCCTCCTACCTGAAGCTAAGGGTAGACAAACAACCACAGTTTAATGTACTATTGAATTTTGAAGACTTGCTCAGTAAATTAGTATTACTAACAAAGTTGTGCTCTTTTCTGCGTTTCTCCACCAATTACAAGTAAAACAAAAGTATAAAAATAAACCAAATGATAGGAATCAGTTATTAGTACTTTAAAATCCTTTTCATTTTTATTAACATTAAATTCAACACCAGTTATCTATTGTATATAAGAAGAATTTTGAAATACTTGCACACCAATTGAGAGGCTTTGTAAAAATGCCTTTTTGCCAAAATCCAGTTCTTTGACTTCTCACTAAGTATTATATTTCCTTAGGGGTACTTTGAGGTCTTTGAAAGATATGTCAGTAGCAGTCCTAATCTTAGTGCAGAACATTTTGCTAATCATTTTACTATATTAAAAAATGTTATACTATACTATTTTATAATAAAACAAAATTATCAAGTATTCTGGCATATTACATATTATTCTACCCAAACATCACTTTCTATAAGTCTATTACTGTGCACACATATTTTTAAAAAACATCACAGTGAGTATTTTGGTCCTAGTGAGGAAGTAGAATGCAATATATGGCATTGATTTTCCATGAAAATGTACTTAAATGTAGGGCAGGGAAACCAAGCTGTAAATGTTTCTGTTCTCACGGGTGAAATGACCAACAATAGTTTGGAAAGATCACCTAACAAATGTTCGCCAGAGTTTAGCTTTTGTTGTCTGTTGTTCCTAGAGCAGGAAGGACACCTGTCAGTTGAATCTGCTTCCGCTTCACAGAGGGGATTCGCTCACAGTCCACTGCATGGTGTAATGAAATCTCTTCAGAAGCGAGACTGACTCAGAAACTTAGTGATGCACCTTACTATTTTTTAACTGCTCTTATAATCTCCAAAACACTGTGATATTTCCCATGTGTTTTCTGTATTAGTTTTGTACTGTAGAAAGTAATCTGCCACAAACTGGATTTTATTGTGTTAAAAATGATGTCGCTGGCTTATTGTCCCCCTGCTCCACAACATGGTCCACTTAATAATGTAAAACCTGTGATAATCCTTTGCCTTAAAATCTGATGCTGAATCATTATTGTGTTCTAATTAATTACCCTTAGATACTCGTTAATTTCCCTTTAAAGCTAACTATGGTGTCAAATAAAATATTACACAAATACTCTGTGGAGTGCTGCTGGTGGTTCTGTTTGTGACTGTGTGTATCTGGATCCAGGACATGGTGGCCTGCTGGCTTCTATAAATAGGCATTCGTAATCCTTTTGGAGAAAGGGCCTGGTACTTCTCAGGCCTTGGCTGAATTCTCCCCTCAACCCTTATAAATAGATTTTCCCATGTCACTTCAACAACCAAGTCAAACAGCTCAACTTGTCCTCTTCCTCTATCTTCATTCTTGTTGAGATCTTATGAATCTTCACATTTTGTTTGTATTTACATCATTTTCCAAAATAGAAAAATGCCCAAGATGCCTGAAAATAAAAATCACCCAACTTCTTCATGGAAAATGATCTTAGAAGGTGTGAAGGAGTGTGTGTGTGTGTGTGTGTGTGTGTGTGTGTGTGTGTGTGTGTGTGTGTGTGTGTGTGTGCGTGCGCGCGCGCGCTGGGGAGCAGGGAGTCCATCCTGATGCATAGAAGGTTGTCAAAAGTTCAGTGAGTATACACAGAACTTGCACAGGTTAAAACACCAGATCAACTCTAGCCCTGAGAAAAGGAAGTAGACACAAATTCCAGTCTCTAACCAAGAAGGTATTTGCAATTGATAAGTTCTGGGAAGGGGAAATTCTGTTTTTTCCAATTGAGTGTCAATGAGCTTCTCAGCCACACTCCAGGGCAGGTCTCATGGTCAGGAGTAGGGGGCCAACTCAAAATGGACTCCATGTTTGTTTGTCTTTTTTTGCACTTTTTGTTTCACTTTGTTGGTTTTGACATTTTTTTATCTTACTGTTTGATTTTCATTTTAGGTGTTTTTTTGTGTTTTTTTTTGTGACAGAGAGAGAGAGAGAGAGAGCATGAAGTTGGGTGGGTAGGGAGGATGGGGGAGTCAAGTAGGGGAAGAATATGTTCAAAATATATTGTATTAATTTTTTAAAAATAAACAGTTGAGTGAAAAAGAAGTGTTAGTGTTGGCATACCAACAGAAGTATGTGTTGGGCTAGAAACTGTTTCCTTATTAGGCTCTGGTCTTTGACCTGCCATGAGTTAGTCACAGCTATACAGCAATATATTCTGTAGGCAGTTTGATTTGGAAAGGAAAACTTTGGCTCCCACAACTCCTTTGATGCTCCTTCCCATTCTGTACTAGAAAGACAAAGGACACGCTCAAGGGTTGCATTGAAAAGTTAGCCGTATTTCCCAGTATGTCGAGTGCATGACAAGACACTTGCTCTCTGAAAAGCATCTCAGTGGCTCTGGCTATTTTGGAATGGCAGGAAAATCTGAACTTTTGACCGGGTGTTTCTTCCGCCCAGAAACTAGACAGTGGATCAGGAATTCAGACTCCCCCACCCCCAATTCTGGTTTCTGCTGGTTACAGTTTATCAAAGCCACTGGAGACAGCCCAGAACAACCAACTCTAGGACTCAGAGGCTTCGCGCGAGCTAGCTTAGTTGGCGACCTTCTGCTGCTGGTTGGGCACCAGCTGTCGGAAGGCTCCTGGTTCGTGGCCCGCCCGGAACAGTCTCCAGGGAGGCGGCGCGGCGAGCTGAGAGGCGCGCGCTGGCGGCTGCGCACGGTGCTCGTGGGCGTGTCCGAGCGGGGCCACGCTGCCCGCCCCACCCCACCCCCTCCCCGGTGTGGCTTGCCCCCAGGCCGGGCTACAGCGTGCACGGCCCATTTGGCCGGGCCATCGTGCCCTCGGCGGGCTGCGCTGCTCGCGAGCGGATCGGGGCCGGGCATGCTGGGATCCGCTCTGGGAACCGTCACCGCTGCCACCGCCACCGCCGCCGCTGCCACCCGCTGGGCGAGTCTGAGGCGCGGAGATGAAATTCCCGGCCTCGGTGTTAGCGTCCCTGTTCCTGTTCGTGGCCGAGACCATAGCGGCGCTCTACCTGAGCAGCACCTACCGCTCGGACGGGGATCGCATGTGGCAGGCGCTGACTTTGCTCTTCTCCCTGATGCCGTGTGCTCTGGTGCAGTTCACGCTCCTCTTCGTCCACCGCGACCTCAGCCGCGATCGCCCACTGGTGCTGCTGATGCACCTGCTGCAGCTCGGGCCCCTGTACAGGTGCGTGCAGAACCCAGAACCAACCCTTAGGCCGCAGCCCCTGGCCATCCCCCCTCTACTGCCCCAGCTGAGGGAGAGGCCTTCTTGCAAGGTACAGGTGACCAGAACCAGGGCTAACCCGCCCTGCTTTCCCAAGCCTCACCATTCCAGTCTCCAGCATGTGGCAGGGTTCCAGAGTGGCACCAAAACTGAGATGCCCTGGATTTCGGGAGCCATCATATGGAATTGCCAATGTTTGCTTCAATTGGACCAAAAAGAGCAGCAGTCTTTGCCTTTTTCGGTCTCATAAAAGTACATTGCTTTCTCTGTGGTCAAGTGGCCTTCGGCAAGATTGGCATGTGTGGTCATAGAACAAACCTTCGGAAGTTACTCTAAGCACGGTTAAAGTCAGAGCCTTTATGGATCATTTAATTTAGTTTATCAAACACATGGCACTTAACTGTGTACCAGGCACTATTCTAAGTGCTTTGTTAAAATTTATTTAATTCATATACAGAAGTCTAGAAATTCATGCACTCTACTTTTCTCTTGGCGTGATGAACATTGGTCTAGAGTGAAAACACACGTAGTACCAGAGATATCTTCTAATTCTGCCCAATTTTTAATATAGCCATGAAATCTGGGACACGATGTGCCTTGAAGACAGGAACTTGCTTTGTGTTAAGAAAAACTACTAATGTCATTTCTGGGGGAAAAAGTTATTGTTGTTGCAGTTTGTGGTGCTGTGGATGGAATCCAGGGCCTCGTACTGGCTAGGCAAATGCCTTACCGTCGAAGTATATCCTTAGCCCTAAGAATTACTCTTTATGAACACAAAGCAAGAAGAAATACATAGTAATGAAACAGACTCGATTTTCATCTCAGAACTTGAAGGGAATTTAAATATATCGTTTTCATATCTTTTATCTTACTAGATGAAACACAAAAGTAAATGTTTATGTTCAGATTTTTAAAATGTTCACAATATTAAAATTTTGCATGCCATTTTAAACAACCTTTTAGCTTACTGTACTGACTTGCAGTTGAACACAGTTATGGCAAACTTGGTAAACAGGTTTCCCATTCTTCAAGAGCCAGGGAATCCTAGAAAGGACAAGAAACATATGCTGGTAATAGTGAGAAACTGCTCCTGATGTCCTGACAGGACATCAGGGAGGAATCAGAAAAATAGGTGGGTGGGGTACTTAGAAAGCATTGCGATCAGTTAGCTAGTAGAGAACCCATGTCCTGAAGCCAGCGCGGTGGCCCTGCTCAAGAAACTAAGTGAGATTTGACTTTAGACAAGGCACTCATCATCTAATGTCATCTGTGGGGAAGAAACTCCTATTTGGGTGGAGTGACTTGGGGAACTGAGAATTCTCAAAAGTTGCTTGTGCTAAGTGGTTTGGTTTATACCTACAGGCCTTAGCTGACTGACTCCTTGCCATGAAGTACATGCAATCGTGCTCACAGCATTTGTTTATGTGTTTATTATTTTGGTGCTGGAGGTTGAACCTAGGGCCTTAGGCATACTAAACCAATGCTCCACCATTGCTGTGGGCTCCCCCAGTCCCTGTCCCCATTTTATACATGAGGCAAATGAGGCTCCAGAACACGTTCCCAAGGCTTCCTTCCAAAACGCAATTAGGTTCATTGTGTTCTCTGTGTTCTGGGAAAGAAAGTAGAGTGTGCAGGACATTTTATCAGCAGTTCCATCTTTACAGTTTTAAATGTTTGATCATTTGCGAACAAAATAAAAAAACAAACACCCAGAGCAACCAGGCAAGTAAGAACCCTCTATCACTGCTGTCATTTTGAGGTGTTTCTTTAGACAAAGCTAATAGAATATTACGTATAAAAACGGCATGGCAACTATAAACTAGAGCCTAAGGAAATATACTAAGATGTTAAGAACAATAGTACTGAGTGGCAGAGTATGAATTTAGTTTTTCCCTCCTCAACATGAACGTATAACAAATTTCTCCTTTATTATGAATTTTTGGTTTTCTTCAGTTATCACAGTAATTTTTTATAACTTTATTAAGGAAAGGAGCCTCATATTCTGATATAGCTGATTTCTGTCAAGGAAGTACTGGACCCATGATCTTTGAACTGAGAGACACAAAATGTAGTTTCAAGACCCTTAGCTTCCAAATGAAAGGGAAATTTCTTGATTTTTTTGGTTAACAGGACTTAAAAAAATTAGTGGGATTTCTTCCTAATGATTGGTTCTAATTTGAACTCTTAAATCATCAGCTTTTCAGAAAGATCAAATTATTCCCCCAAACAAGGGGATCACAATAATTTCTCCCTTTTACCCCTTAGCAATGGTTTTTAGTAATATTTTAAAGTTGTTTGGGGGACAGTTTTCTTCTACTCAAGTTAGGGTAGCCAAACTACCATTTTTAGGTAGACGCTGTTTTTTGAGTTCATACAATATGATGACCTAATTAAAGTGACATACAGTAGTTTACTCTGTATAGTGCTTGGTTTAGTATGCTTGAATCCTTATGGCAACTCCTCAGTACGGGGAAAATGGCGGTCTGCAATACCTTACCCTAATGAGTATGGACTCAAACTGCTAGCTCACTTCTGCCCCCCTTTTCCTTCATGGAGGCATTGGTAGAACTCTTTATATCATTTATTTATTATAATTTTAGTCTTATATTTAAATGTATAGCTACAGTTTCTATGGTGCTTTCTAATATGAACTTTGGATAGTGTCTTGAATTACCCCCATTTCCAATTTGAAGGAAAATCTTACTTTCAGCTATGCTAGATATTCTGAACAAACAGAAGGGAGACTGTCTTTTACCTCCTGTTTCCTACTGTTCTCACAGTTATGGTAACTTTCATAAATTAACTGAAAGGAGGAAATATAGATGAGTAACTTCAAGAAACCCCCATCTTTATTACTAGCACAGTTTAACAGACAAAATGAGAGGTGAACAAAATCTAGATTTATAAGATGTAAATTAAGCCGGGGAGTGGTGGTGCACGCCTTTAATCCCAGCACTCGGGAGGCAGAGGCAGGCGGATCTCTGTGAGCTCAAGGCTGGCCTGGGCTACAGAGTGAGTTCCAGGAAAGGCACAAACCTACACAGAGAAACCCTGTCTCGGGAAAAAACAAAACAAAACAAAAAACCAAGATGTAAGTTAAAACTGTCTAAAATTGTTATAGAACATTGCAAAGTGATTCGCAGTAGTATGTCTCTATAGGGACATTTAAAAGTAATTTAAAATAATAACAGTCCACATTTGAAAAGCATTTCTTTCCTTTGCAAAGCACATACATTGTTTAATTCCATCTATAGTCAAACCATGTGAGCTAACTGGCACAGTCTTATTTCTACAGTCCAGGCCCTGAGACTCCGGAGATTAAGCAAGTGGCTTGTCAAAGGTTTCACAATATTTTCTATTTAACCAGCCTAGCTCTCTGATGTAGCTTCTCAGACATGTGTCTCACATGAACATAATATAGCTTACAGGAGATCGTAATATTTCTTTGGAAAAAGTATTTTCATTAGAGTCTTTGGTACCTCGAGTTATTTGTGTTGCCATCAACATGCCTAGTTTTACCTAGGGAACAAACTGCTGTTATGGTTGACAAATGAATTACGCTTGAAAATGGAACTAAGTGAAAAAAGGTCAATCAAATTACTAAGTATCTACAGCAGGGATCATCATGGGGTCTGCAGACTATGCTCCACTGGCCAAATCATGCCACCACCTGTTTCTGTATTAGAAATAAATAAGTAAAGTTTTATTAAAACACAGCTAGAGTCACTCCTTCATATAGTCATTCATTTATAGGCTGTTTGTCTGCAGAGGCAGAGCTGAGCAGAGACCCTGTTGGCCTGTTGAGCCTAAAATACATACATTACACAAAGGTCCTGAGCCATGGAATATGTGATACTGAGGAACTACCTTGAATAATTTTTATGAAGGATGTTGGTCCTCTACCACTGAGCTATATCCTTAGCCCTTACCTAGGGTGATTTTATTCAAGTAGCTCATGCAGAGAAACAACAATTAAAACAAACTCTAAACAAAATTGAAAAAAATACACAAATCTTGGCAGAATTTTAAGAAAACAGCAGTAGTTTGTTTCTTAGGTTTCTACTTAGTAGTAGTAAGAGGTCTTGGGACAGTTCACAAATTTATAAGCTACAATGTTTGAAGCATTGATAAGATATGCCAGGTGTGGTGGTGCATGACTTTAATCCCAGCACTAGGGAGGCAGAGTAAGTTTGAACCAGCCTAGTCTACAGAGTGAGTTCCAGGCCAGTCAGGACTACATAGAGAGACTCTGTCTCAAAGGGGAAAAAAAGACAATGTATCACTAAGAAAAAGCCATGGATTGTGAGAGGCTCCGCCATTGGAGTTATCTGTGCCATTAGTTTTTTTTTTTTTTTCTGGAAACATTTTTCATTTACATGGCTGATCTCTGAAGTTTCATTCAAAACTTCCCTTCAAGCATCATTAGAACTGCAGTTTTCTACAAACCCTTATTTCCTTCATTTATTTCATAGAGTAGCTTTTAGCATGTTCTACCTTTTGTTTAGTTTGGTCTTTCAAAGCTCTAAGTTTGACTTTTATATCACAAGTAAAGAATATTTGTTAAAATAACAGAGAAACAGAAAATATATATGCACAGTGAAGAAAATGAAACCTTTAATTTGACTGCCCAAAGAGAATAATTCTCAATGCTTTTGTATTATATCCTTACTAGTATGTACACGGGGTTCTGATTGTAAGCTGTCAGGGAAAATGGGCCCAAATTTCAACAGTTTGCTAATTTCAAAATTTACTTATCCCCATCAAGTCTGACCAAGGTATGAGTTGTTTAACAACTTGTTTGCACAATTTCTATTTAACAATTATCACTTTTGAGTCAATAGAATTCAATTCTGTCATTCCACTGTTTATGTGTATGTGTAAGTTTGTGTAGTTTGTATACATTTATATGTGTGAAGTTTTCTCTAAAAGTTTGCTTTCCTTATCAAATGTGATAAAATGTT